GAATTGGTGTCCATTCCTCTAAATGAAGTTTTGCAAGAATGGACAGAGAAATACCACATGTACTCACTATTAAACGGGTACCATTCAATCTACACCCACGTGCACATTTTGTAGTAAATGCAGTGGAAAGCAAGCAGATAAGAGAGTGAAAGAAGGAGGGTAAATTCACACTGAAGGGGTACAAGGCCTACTATCTTGGTGAAAGGCACACTTACAGCTTTGACTCACACTGGACAAAAGTAACCAAACATTTATACCCCTGTAATAGTCTAGGGGGCAGGGAGGAATGGCTTGGGACAGAACTTGGAGAGTACATATCTTTTGTGCTCATTTCTGAGGTACCTGTGAAGAATAAGGAAATCAGTAAAAGAAATAGGAAAAAGATAGTAAATACAAGATAAATTCCACATCATGAACTATTGAACTACCTATAGAATGACAAATCCTCTTTCTCCAATAATCAGATTAAATACTTAACAGAAACATTTGTATCCAAATATGTTTTAGCAAGCGAATGTTTAAATCACAATTGGATACGTAGTATAAATCACAAGGACATTATAATGACTTTCCTTTTGTGCTCAAAGAAGGCTTCTCAGAGGATATTTAACTTAAGGTCAATCATAAGGGAGGAGAAAGTCTGTACAGGATACAAACCAAAACAGTTATCCTCATGGGCAGGAGTGACTTTAGACGGTGAAACGATAAATACAACTTCAGGTCAAAAATTCACTTTGGGAACAAAAAATGAACCAGCTTTATGGATATCACTAAAGATAAGTAGAAGTTGGTTTTAAAACAACATATAAAAATCAGAAGTACAAATCTCAAATGTCAGGGTAAGTTGTTTAAATTTTGTTGTAAAAAATAATCTGTTTTCAGCTGAATATTCATGTGATAAAAATGATACTTTGGTGAAATTGATACAGCAATACTATTCATGGTGTTTAGAAGCGAAAGAAAGATGTTTTAAGAAGAGGTTTCAGGTAAGTGGTAAATTTAATAGCTATGGTAGAGGTTATTTATAAAAGCCTATGCCAGGGAAATAAGACCAAGATTGAAAGACCATTGTGAAATTACAAAATAAAAGGCATAATTAAACATCTATACATACATACACACACACACACACAAAAGACTAGATACAAGATTAGAGGAAAACGGGTGTCAGACATGATTCCTATGCCTCTAGCTTGAATAACTTGGAGAAAAATGACATTTATATAAACATGTGGGTGTGATGTTTTGTCACTGACATTAAGCTGAGTTGCCAAGACACATCTTCATAGCCTGCTGATTATTTCCTGAGAATGGCATATCTGCTCATCACTTAGCTATCAGTAGCTGAGGCTGTCAATTCCCTGGTAGGAAAAGAGGCAAATCAGAGAAATGAAGAGTATGTTAGAAGGACAAGCTTCATGTATCTCAATAACAATGCTATACATATATATATAGTTCTTTCTAAAATTTAAACATGATTTTGAACAAATATAAAAACCATTTTTCCACTTGATTTATACGACATGCGTATTGAATCCTTATAGCGTGCAAGGCTTAGTGAAGGACGGATAAAAGGCAAATATCATATAATCAACAAAATCCTTTGCAAGGTTAGAAACAAACAAACAAACAAAATCCACCCAGAAATTGTGTGTGTTACATTTTATTTGAATTTAGGCTGAAGGACAAAAAGATTCGTGAACTACTTAGGTGAAAAAGAGGGACTTGCAGGTAGCCTGGGCCATTCTGAGAATGTTCAGAACCGAGCAATACAAAGAATTTGAGAGGAATTGTCTAGCTTGATGGGAACACAGGGCACAGGTGGAAGAGAGGAAATGGGCAAGCTGGCACCACATCGTGTGAGTCTATGAGTGCCAACATCTGGGCTTTGGATTTTTTTCTTTTTAACTTTTAATTATTAGAGGTGCATAATAGTTGATATATTTATATCGACTATAATGCTCATATTTAACTCTTAAATAAGAAATGGAGAGCCACTACAGGTATTCAATTCTGATAATAATCATATTAAACCGATGGTGTGCAGCAGGCACACATTGGCCCTACTGTCAGTAAAATATCCCCTGATAAGGGCAGAAAGCTGGGGGATATAAAGTTAAATCATAGAAGTTGCTGTAAAAAAAATCAGCAATATACTTAAATGCAGAAACTGGCAATATATGTTTTCAGATCCACAATGCAAAGTAGATTTATGAAACAGGCTATCACAGGTATTTAACAACCCCAACAAGACCTTCGTAACAGCCACTATTCATCACAACCCGCTATGAGAGGGATGCTCCACTAGGTTCATTATATAAGTTACCATGCCACTTCCCTGCTCAAAACCCTCCTCTATCTTCCTATTACTTCTAGCAGAAAAAAAACAAGAAGTCCTGACCACAGCACACAAGCTCTATAAGACATCATCACAGGACCTCCTTGTTCATACCCTACACTCCAACCTTCCAAGGATAGGGCTTTCCAGAATTAAAATTTTTCTCCTTGCACCATGAACTTACATTAGTTGCTTATTCTGCCAAAATGTTTATCCCCAGATTCTTAGGGAACTGGCTTCTTCTTTTCCTTCAACTTTAAATCTAAAATAATATTATTTAGTTGCCAGCTGTCTTTGCCCATATATTGACACCATTTGGCACATAACAAATATTTGTGAAATCAGTAAATATAAGGATTACCTCACTTTAATTCTTATTTAATTTTTTAATTCTGAGCTAAATACTAGTAATAGCTGAAAGGTGAAGGATTGGAAGCTCAGGAGCATTAAGGTATCTCACCCCAGGCCACCAAAGTCATGTGTTAGAGCACAGACTTGAAAATGATCCTAAAATCTTTCTACTGCCCTGCACCGTCTTCCTATATTTTTAGAAGGCAATAAATCCCAGGTTTTGAGGCCTTTGAGGAAGTGTTGGCTTTTTTATCTAGAACTGATGAGGTTCTAGAACTGATGAGGAACCTAAGAAGGTAATCACAGGAATAAACATGCAAACATACTCTGGGATTAATGAGTGTTGTAACCCAGCCCATTCCCCACCCCACCCCCCAGGTGGCAGAGAACACACTTCTCAGCCTGTTCCCAGGCCCCCTTCTTCCCCCTAGGGTTGCCAGGAACAGAACTATAACCATTGTTACCCAAACTGTGACTATTGCTATCTGAACTGTAACCATTGCTACCATAACCACTGCCATCCACGCTGTAACCATTTATACCTAAACTGTAAACCTAAACTGCAACCCTGCCAATGGTGCCCTGCCAACAGCAACGTTCCTTATACACAAAAAAGGGTATAAAAGACAAAAAAACCTACACTTCAGGGCCGCTTGTCTTAGGACAATGGATCCCTGCGCAGGTGTGAATAAATCACCAATTATTTACATCAGTGTTGGTCCAAGTCCATTTTTCCAAGTCCTATAAGTCATTTCATAAGTAGCTGAAATCTCTAACTTTCAAGGCTGAGTGTGGTGCCTCACGCCTGTAATCCCAGCACTGTTGGAGGCCTAGGTGGGTGGATGGCCTGAGCTCATGAGTTTAAGACCAGCCTAAGCTAAAACAAGACCCTGCCTCTAAAATAGTCTTGTGTCATGGTGGGCACCTGCAGTCCCAGCTACTTGGGAGGCTGATGCAAGGGAACTGCTTGAGCCCAGGAGGGCCCTCTACTAGGGGCAACAAAGTGAGAGTCTGTCTCAGAAAAAAAAAGAAACAAACAAACAAACTTTCTATGAACAAATTGTGGCCTTTTCATAATTCCTTTCACATTAATTTTTATCTTTCTTTTCTTCTACTTAGAATAATATTAAAATATTTGATATTTCTTATTTAGTCCTTAAGACACATTAAGATAAGTGCTATTACTATTCTCTTTTATGCCATAGAGATTGAAGATAAAAGGAAATTATAGAAACTGCTTCATTCATACAAACAGCAAGTATGTAGGAGGAAGCATATGATTGCTGGTCTGTCTCCCTATTGTTCAATCTCATTTTAATGCACCATAAATTTTCAAATATGGTCTTACTGACTCTAAAATTATAACATTTTATAACTTCCTATATTATGCCAAGAGATGCTTTGATTCTATTCAACAAATACTTGCTTGCCTATGATATTGTAGGTATTCTACCAAGTGGTGGTATTTCAGTATGGTAGGTATTTTGGCCACATGCCAGAAAATAGAATGTTGACTGACAGACACAATTCCTCCTACCTTTGGTGAACTTTTAATTTTAGGATACCCATACCTTTTGAATTTTGTGAATATTTTAAATTTAGATATCTTGGTTATAAAATTTTCTGCTTCATAGAGTATATTCAGGAATATGTATAGAGTTGGGGCAATATCTCCACAGGAAGGTTTTGGAAAGTTTACATATTTGCAAGTAAGCAGTTTGTTCCAATGTACTAGACCTCAATTAGACATTGCTAGGGACACCTGTGTGGGGTAGTAGTAAGGAAACAAGGAGATTTTATATGGATACATATTCTGTGTAAAAGATGGGGGATTAGTTAATGGGGTATCATATTGTTCATTTTACCAAACAAAAAGAAATTCAAATTAGAAAGAAAGTGATGTTGTAGGGAGCAAGGGAAAATATAAAAAAACGGGAATAGGTTGGTGGCACATTCCAACCTCGCATTTACTAGGTTAGGAAAACTACTATTTTATAGGTTCTGCCTATTTTAAGCATTCAGGTGGAAAGACTAGGAAAGAAAGGAGAAGATGGGAAAAAAAATTTAAAGTCATAAACTAACTTGTTTTACCTCTGTTTCCCAGTCCATGCCCCAACCCCTGTCAAGCTGGAAAAAATAATTAAATCATTCATGTGCTCTGTGTTCCAGAAAACAAGTGCATGATTCTTCTGCTATTTGGCATCAGATTGGCTTCATGTTTGGGAAAAAAGTTCAACTAATATGTATATCTACCACTCTTATAAACCATGTCTTCTTTGATAACATGCAATCTCGATCTTATTCTCCACAGATTAACATTGACTTCAGTACCAGGGACCTCATTTCAAAGAACATTGCCGAACCAACTCTCAAATGCTTCGATGAGGCTCAGAAATTAATCTACAGTCTCATGGCCAAGGATTCTTACCCTCGATTTCTAAAGTCAGAGATTTATAAAAAATTGGTAAATAGCCAACAGGTTACAAATCATAAAAAATGGCTCCCTTTCTTGTGAAGAAGGTAAATGATTCATTAATCACTATACTTCAAAGCTAAAATATTTTAAATTGGAAAACGCAATATAATTTTCAAGGTATAGAAAACATTTTTTACTCCAACAGAAGAATAATTTTTTTATATTTCAAGCCTGAATTTCTAAGTCATTTGTTTAGAATTTATTCACTTTATAAGGTACTTAAAATCTCTTGCTGGAGGAGTACAAAGGAAATTTATAGAGATATAATATGCTCTTCCACCATAAGTAGATATTCTTATAACGTTATAAATTTAAGGAACTATATATCTTCATGTTGCAGAATGAAAGACTATTCAGCATTATATACATAATTTTAAGTACAATTGTTTCATTCCAAACCTCACTTCTGTAAAAAGACAAATCCTAAACCAAAGCACAGTCCTTTATTTGGCGTACTCAACTGTTTCTTTTCAAATGTTTTTAAGAATGTAGTGATTGTCTGAACTGCTATGCCTCTCAAATTAGTTAAAAAGGAAAATTGCAGTAATGTATGCACATTTATATGTATTTCTGATGATACCAGGGACCAAAACTTTTCAAAATAAATCACTTGGTTCAATTCAATGGCCTCACATAGACCTATGTATAAAAAGGGGCTTCAGGGTGGAGAATATTGATTGTCTTCTATTAGCAGTCATAGAAAGGAAAGAGGAAGATTAAAGAACATGAATAAGTCCTTATAGGTTCAACTCAATAGCAGTGACTGTCCCATAAAATAAAAAATGTTGCAACATTACCGACTCAATTGTGAAGTATCTATTTACTCTTCAGCCCCAGAACTGGTTTATAAAAACACATAAATTTTGTAAATGCATTATTTTCAAATTCCTAAAATGGTTTCTTTCTATCCAGTATATAAATGGTCTGTGGTAAGTATGAATAATTTCATGTCAATATGAGAAGCTATAAAGATTCAATAGATCTTCTGTGTTTTCATTTTATTTGCACAGATTTATTTATCTGTATTGACTTTTTTTTGAGATTGTTTGAATATTAAGAAATGAAGGGAAAAAAATCGCATGGCTTATTTTACATTTCTACAAACTACTCATTTGGTAGACAAAGTTTTGGCTCCTTTTTGTCATGAAAAAATAAACATTTAAACATATGCAAATGGAATATCCCCTGTACGTTTGCAAATCTTTAAAGGAAGGCATAAATACAAATTGGTTGAAGTATTCAGCGTGCCTTAAGGTGTACTTAGTGGAAAATAGCTATATACCTTTCAACATTTCTTCTGGAAGTCCAACCTTAATTTGCTCTCTATTTTAATGGAAAATTTAAAAATTATCTCCAGAGATGAAATAGACTTTTGAGGATAATAGGAACCTTAGAATTTTAAATCACATACCCCCTTTTAGACCTGGAAAAAATAAAATTTCAGTTATTTCCTGAAATCATACAACTGGTAAGTGGCTGAGCTGGTCAGAGCAAAGCAAGTGTTTCCCAAGGTACCCACTGTGACCGAACAGTCCCCTCCCAAGTTTACAACAAAAAGTAGAGATTTGAATCTAAGTTCCTACTAACCCTCCAATAACCAGCAGAATCCCTTTTACTGGGGATTTGAATTCCCTCTTTAGAGTCAGTTGGCCACTTCTGTGTTCTTACCCTAGAGCAAAACTTCATGTTTAATGATTGCCTCTGGAGGTTTTTCTAATAATATGAAGGAAGCCACAAACCAAACCTTCACCTAGAACGAGGTGCTAAACAGTGCCTAAAAAATACAGTAGGTATCAAAAGAGTGGGTTGAAAATTGCATGTTAAATGATGTCTCCTAGAATGCCAACCCAAGAGCTTCACTAGTATCATAGTACCTACATCCTAAACTCATTCCCCATTCAAAGTGATAGTTCCAGGTTTTCTGATTTAATGAGAAGAGGAAATGATTGCAGGTCTATGGACTAATTGGTAGTGAGGATTTTCAGGAAAATATCAGATGTCTGTCTTTCACACATAGTTCTATTTATGTCTCTTTCATTCCATATTTTATTTTATTTTGTGAATTATGATTGATGAGTGATTTGGTAGGTGAAAATTTCAAATCAGAAAGATTAACTGGAAAAAATAAAGACATTAACATGTCTGATAGTGTATTTAAATATTCAATATTTGTGTAATGTCATTTTCTAAAATTGTTTCCATTGGCTTTCAGAAATGAAGTGTTTACTTTAAAAACTAAGTAAAACATTAATAAAATTATAAGACATTTGGTGGCTCCCATAGCTCAGTGGATAGGCAGGGAACCAGCCATATACACTCAGGCTGGTGGTCAGCTAAACAACAATGACAACTGCAACAAAAAAATAGCCAGGCGTGGGTGGCACCTGTGGCTCAAAGAAGTAGGCCACCGGACCCATATGCCGGAGGTGGTGGGTTCAAACCCAGCCCCAGCCAAAAACTGCAAAAAAAAAAAAAAAAAAAAAATAGCCAGGCACTGTGGCAGGCACCTGTAATCCCAGCTACTTGGGAGGCTGAGGCAAGAGAATTGCTTAAGCCCAAGAGTTTGAGGTTGCTGTGAGCTGTGATGCCAGAGCACTCTACCAAGGGCAACATAATGACACTCTGTCTCCAAAACACAAAACAAAACAAAAAAATATATATAAGACATTTAAGTAGAATTGACTTTCAAACTATAAGAAGTTTTCCAAGCACAATGTTTTCCATTTTCTGATATATGATTTAATGTAATTATGTTTGTCCTTCTCTAGGTCAGACCTAAGGAAGTAAAACAATGTATTTCTAAAAGAATCTTAGCTTCATTAAGAGATTATTATGAAGCTACAATAAATGAATTTATCTAAATTGTTTTTTAATTTATTGGACTATATTTCAAATATTAAAAATTTTACCACCAATTATTCTTTTAATTTTATATAATCTTGGCCTTTTATTACTTATTTGTTTATTTATTTTTGAGACAGAATCTCTCTCTGTCACTTGGGATAGGGTACAGTGGCATCATCATAGTTCATTGCAATCTCACAGTCCTGGGCTCAAGCAATCCTCCTGGCTCACCCTCCAGTGTAGCCGGGACTACAAGTGCACATCACCAAGTTTAACTAATTTTTTTTTTTTTTTTTTGTAGAGAGAAGATTTCCCTATGTTTGCATTGCTGAGGCTGGTCTCAAACTCCTGACCTCAAGGAAAGTCACTCCACCCAGCCTCATCTTGGTCTTTCAAACGATAATAGCAATCTGGTCCATAACTTCAGAAAATAGTCCAAATTTCTTTCTTGAAATTTCAAGAAAAGTTTAAATCCATTATCAGGGACTAAACTTAGATCAAATTTTCTTTGCTTTTGTCTCTGTGGAGGCTAATCAGCCAATGTACTCAATCATATAGTACACATTCTAGCAGAAATAACCAATATGAATTATTTTTGGAAAACTATAGAGATTATGCAAAAAAGAAAATTTTCTTTAAAAACAAAACAGACAATTTGGTTTCAGTATTAGTAGTCTTCATACATTTATTTCCTATGGAAAAAAAAAAATCTCAACTCCAGCTTTCACTCACATGATAACAGTTTCACCCCAATTATAGCAGATGCCGGCCTGATTTGCTCCCAACCACACACTGGTGTAATTTATTTTATGGTGATACCAAATAATTCAATGTGAACTCTTTTCATAACTATATGAATAAGGTGGGATGTTGTCAAGGCAGTAATCAGTCACTATATGAACAAAGAGTCTTGCAGGCTACATTCCTCCAATTGTTTCATCAGATTTCCCATTGCATTTTAATGAGGAGCCAGCAGTAATGAATATGAAGCAATAACTTACTTTAGCTGTGTCGTTTTGGAGAATTTGTATACGTTCTACATAATTACTACTTACAGAGTGTACCTAAATATATATAATATAGTATAATTATTACCAATAACATTTAATAGATACTAATACATAATATATAATACTAATAGATATTAGTGTGTTTCTAAGCATAACAGGTAGAAAAGTAATATTTTTTAAGATACAAAATCTTTATTTTATTTAAGGCAACAAAAACTAAATGTCTAGTAAAGAAAAAATAAACAATAAAGTTTATTGAAGGAATTGGTTAGTCATTTAATATTTATATTTTACATTATATCTATGTTGAAGTCAGCTATGACTGTTTTGAAAAATAAAAATTGTTTAGTTAAATTCACTTTTCTGTCCTTGTGCAATGATTATTCAATTATTCCTGGATGTCTAACATGAAATATCATTTCATTTATTTACATTTTCACAAATAAGAATTTAGAAGCAGGGCGGTGCCTGTGGCTAAAAGGAGTAGGGCACCAGCCCCATATGCCAGAGGTGGCAGGTTCAAACCAAGCCCTAGCCAATAACTGCAAAAAAAAAAAAAATTTAGAAGCAGTTCATTTCATACAAATATAGTGTGGATCCTCTGTTCTAAAACTTTTATTTCTTTTGTTCATTTAATTAAATTAGATATAATATTTGGATCATTAAAGATGTGAATGATAGTTTATAGATAAAACATAATTAGCTTTTTTTAAAAAACTGATGGGAAGAAAGTTAAATGTCTCATAAATATATTGAGTATTCTTTCATTTTTTTTAAATTTTAATTAATATATTTTATTGTGAATAAAATATTAAAAATATTTAATATGAGCAGATGAAGCTACTAGGATTCAATATTATACTATTACCCTATTGTTTATAATCCCTATTTTATAAAGAAATAAACTATGTTTCATGAATTTAAAATGATATTTAGCACTAATCAAACATATGCAAGTTATTTAACTTTTAAAATATTATCTTATTGGGCCAGGCACAGTGTTTTACACCTGTAATCCTAGCCATCTGGGAGGCTGAGGCAGGACACTTGATTAAGTTTAGGAGTTTGAGACAAGCCTTAGCCAAAGAGCAAGAGCAAGACCCCCATTTCTGCTAAAAATAGAAAAATTAGCAGTCATTATGGCAGGTCCCTATAGTCACAGATATTTGGGAGGGTGAAGCTGGA